GGAAGGAAGGAAGGAAGGAAGGAAGGAAGGAAGGAAGGAAGGAAGGAAGGAAGGAAGGAAGGAAGGAAGGAAGGAAGGAAGGAAGGAGGGAAGGAAGGAAACTCAATGGATCCACTTTTTCTCCAGGAAGTTTTAAGAGGATATAATTTTCAATTCTTGCCCACTGGTGCTAGGTGCCAAGAAACAAATTTGAACTGAGTGTCATCAAGCCAATCTAGTAGGATGACAGAGTCCTGACAGCCAACACTTCCGGGCAGCCCCAGGGTAAGGGAGGTTGCAAATTACTGTAACTTTATTTTTTATTTATTTGTTATTTACGGTAACACTCTATTAATTTAATTTAGTTTAGTTTAAATGGGGAACTTTAATTAATGCAACACTGACACAGATGTGGCAACCTAGTGACTCCATAATGGAATCCAGATTCGATTCCTAGTTGAGACTTTGTACAGTTAATTATTTCATTATATGAAGGAGAAGAGACAAAACCCAGGCCCTTATGAACCAGGAGGGACGGGTGATGAGTCAGGAACATCAGAAAATGTGGGAGAGACTGGAGAGTCTCTCCAGTGTTGATTGTTCAATAAATATCTTTCAAAACTCAGCCCAGAATTGCTGGAGTAACGAATTGGATCCTTGTCAATGGCCTATCCCCCAAAGCTGGGTTGACTTGGCAACATATAGCTTAGCTTCATTCAGTCCAGGGCCTGCAAACAGCTGTAACACTGCATCTCTGAGGGTGCCAACTCGGTCTGCCAAGAAAGATTGTTTGAAAGCCCTGGTGGAAGATTTTGCTTTTTCTTGTTTGCAAAGGAAATGGGTGAAAAGGAAACCAGGCTGAGCTGGGGAAACCTCTTTGTTACTAAAGCCCTCTGGGCTTGCTTATTTCAATTATTAACCACACCATACTTCAACCAAAGGCAATATGTTCTCTGGCCATCACCCAGATCCTCCATCTTTCAAACCCAACTTTTTCTAATTAATTTGGGGTATTCACTTATCCTCGTTTTGGGGAGATGGGAACAAAGAGTGCCTCTTAGTTCCTGGCCCGCAATTCCTCCACACTGCTAGTTGGTCCTCTTTACATTTGGAGCCTCTCATTGCTTCATGCTCTGGTTTTCAACTTCTGCTTTGCAGTTGTAGGCACTGTCTTTTAATGAAAGGCTGCCTTACTTTTGTTTGTGTAACTGAACTAAAGTAGTTTCTGGCAGGGCAGTCGACTGGGTTAAATTTGTTCCCCTCTTTCTGTTACATGAGGCAACTTACCATCTAGACAGCAGTCAACCTCTGCCTCATTTCTCTTCTCATGCCGAAGCAACCATTAAGCAGTTTTATCCTCTCCACAGTGGCTGCTTCATCCTTCAGATCTGAGTTAACCTCACATCTGGCCTGCAACATCTCCATTATCTGCCTTGGTGGTCCTCTCAGCTATCCTGCTGGGGCTCTCCATCTCTAGTCAGTACAGAATTCAAAAGGAATAGCCCACAGATTTTCAGTGCAGCCAGTTATTCCTCCTTTTAATCCTCCTTAGAACAACTGCCATTCATCCTTCTAACTCTTCTAACTCTTCTAATCTTCACGATGAAACCTGCTTTTCTCTATCATATCTTTCCTGCCTTGCCTTTAGAGCAGGGGTCCCCAACCGCCGGTCCGCGGACCGGTACCGGTCCGCGGAACAAGTCTTACCGGGCCGCTGGTTGCTGGGCGCCGCCATCTTTTTTTGATAAAAAAGCGCTTCCGGTGAGCTTTTCCGGGTAGAAAGCCATTTCTACCCGAAAAAGCTCACCAGAAGCGCTGGCGCCGCCATCTTTTTCGTAAAAAAAAGATGGCGGCGCCCAGTTGATGCCGGTACCGGGCCGCGGCGTCAAAAAGGTTGGGGATCACTGCTTTAGAGCATGTCTATAACTGCAGAGGCAGCTGTCCCTGTTTGGTGCCTGCCATGGTAACATCTGTATTGCATCCAGTGATCTTCAGGTTCAGTTTGAAGTATTGGTGATGGCCTATCCATGGCATATAGTCTAGTTGCCAAAAAATGGACTTTCTCATATTTTTTTGCCCACCTCCCTGATAAGATTCATCAGAGTGGGCATACTGCAGGTCGCATCTTTGAAGCAATGCACCTAAGCATGTTTTCTTTACCATGACACGTATCTTCTGGAATACTAGTCCCCTTCCCTCCTGAAGTTTGCATGGCCTAAGTTTGCATTGTCATTTTCTAAGTGAGCCTTGAAAATAGAATTCCCCACCTCCCAGGACCTGAGAGGTTAGGCAACTCTAGAAATATGATCAAGCGAACAAACAAATTTCTCATCAACTGCAGCAACTGCAGCTGTGCTTCCTGGAAATTATGGGAATCGTAGCGCCAAACATTTGGGGGGCATCCCTGAGGAAAGTAGGCATAGATTAGACATCTTCATTATAACATCTAGCAAGAGTGAAGAAGAAGAAGCTGCATTTACAGTGCGGATTCTTTGGGAGTCAGGAGGTGTACAAATGGAACAAAAGTAAAATACATCAATAAAAATTTAAAGATCAACCTTTAAATGTGTCTTTGAAAAAAAAACATTTCAGAATGGAATGAGCATAGAGCAGTAGGTGAAGGGCCATCTCCTCAGAACATCACCATCAAAATTTTGTGCATGTGTGTGTGTGTGTGTGTGTGTGTGCCTTTAAGCCAGTTTTCCCTTCTGGTCACTGCCTTTCAGTTTTCTTGGCAAGATATTAAGAAGTGGTTTGCCCTTCCTTGCTTCCCAGGACTAAAAAAAGGGGGGGGGAAGGGGGAGGGGGGGATGACTGGTCCAAAAATCACCCAGCTGGCTTCATGGCCTTTCTTGCTTTCTAGCCTCATCCCCTAACAAGTATACCAAACTGGAAAACAATAATCAATGAACTCACAGGAAGCTCCCTTAGGGTCAATATCATTCAACCTTTTTATTAATAACCTGGTTGAGTAAAAGGTAATCAAATGCGCAGGACGGCCTGAACAATGACCATGATAACAGAATGGGATTGTAATCTAATCTGAATAGATTGGAAAACTGGACTAAGATACCCTTCAACAGGAAGAAACATGAAGCATTACACCTGAGAGAGAGAGAGAGGAATATATATATATATAGGGAACATATAGAAGATATAGAATTGATGGCTTGAAAGCACTAGATTGGAAAGGGATTAAGGTATGGTCATTGACAACAAGCTAAGCATGGGCAAGTATTGTGATACAATTGCTATAATAGTTAAATCAATTCTGGGCTGCATCGTACAAGAGCTGCCTGAATGACATGTGAAGTCTTTATTCCCCTCTGCTCTGCCCTGGTGAAAGCACATCTGGATTACTTGTTTACCCACTCAAATTTCCAAAAAGATATGGTATTGATGGGTTAGAAAGAGTTTGGAAGACACCAACCAAATTAATGTAAGGACTACAAAGATAAGTGGCAAGACCTTGGATTGTTCAGCCTGGAAATGAAAAAACAAAATTGAGGGGAGATAGGATATCAGCCAGTTCTTGTGGATGGTTTAACTGTTTTTTCTTGCAGAGGACTTGGTGAGATTCTTATATTCCCTTCCCAGTCCACAGTTCTCTGATTCTACAAAGTGTAAGAGTTGTAACTGCAATTATAATCCAAATTCTCCTCCACGTTATCCTAACTGCAGTTATTTTCATGTTGTGACTTGGAGGTTTGAGCCTGCTCTGTTAGAAGACACAGACTTGAGCAGTGAGGAAGAGGAGGATTTGGCCTTGAGGTTTGAGCCTGCTTTGCTGGAGGATTTGGAATTGCCTTCCTCCCCAGGACCTTCCTCCCTGGTTGTGCCTCAGGTGTCGGCAGATAATCAGGAGAGTGTAGCGGAGCCTCTGGCTGAGGATCAAACTGAGGAATGTTGGTTTGATGCGAGGCAAAGACGCAGGCATAGGCATGAGATGCAATGTAGAAGGAAAGGACAAATCAGGGACTGAGATGAGAGACTGACACGCCCCTCAGGGAATAAAAGTGGGCGTGTTAGCTCTGGATTCTCATTCGGGACAATTTGTTAATTTGGGATAGAAGCTTCGACAAATTCTGTGTGTGGCGTTTGCCTGTGATTTATGTTCTTGCTTTATTATCGGACTTGGCAGGCAGCTTGTGGGAGACTGCCAAGGACTTCTCCAGCCAAAGGAATTTAACCCTGTCGTTACTGGTCTTGTCTGCTTGTTTATATTCCTTTGGAAACTTGGACTCTCACCTCGTGGGCACAGGTGAGACATAACATTTTCATATCAGAGTCCTTCAGCATTACTATGGGCTGGATGTTCTGTGTTTAGCTGAAAGCAAATGTCAATTCTTCTAAAATGATTCTCTTAAGAAAATTTACTTACAGGCAAGCGCTATTCAGAATAAAAGTCTCGTGGTATTTTTTTTTAAAAAAAAGGTTGCTTTTTGTGTATGGCAATAAAACTCTGAATCCTGAAACAAGTACTCTTTAATTAAAGACATGACAACTG